CCTTCAATTGCTGCAAACAGAGTTTAAGGTGCAAAAGTAATTTGCACTCGATTAACTCACCTGGGGGAGAGGAGAAGAAGAGAGAATCTTACTCTTCGCAACAGACTGAGGCAAATGTAAACTGCCACAGCCTTTCTTTATTTGTTCTTCCTGATTAACAACTTTTGTCATTTTGATCACACTCTAATGATACTTGGCCACATGTGTCCTGGTTTTCATCTGTGAAATGTTGGAGGATATGGTGGTACAGAGAGTCGGGGGGGGGGGGTCAGGGGCTGCAAAAGAAGCCTTTGCCCACCCCAGTGCAAGAAATCCGGTAGAAGTCTAGCTCCTCTGCCAATAGCCAGAAACCAATACCTTTCCCCTGTATGTAGCTTTCCTTATGTATGTAGTCCTCTGTATGATCTTTTCCTCAATATATACGTCATTGCTTAAAATAAAAACCAGCCCTCACTACAGCATCCTTCAGATAACTGGCATTGCAACTCTAATTAATAAAATTATCTGATTACTGTTTTACTGATTTTTAGTCCAAGCCGAGATCTTGTTTTGTTTTTTAATGGAATAACTTTACAAAAAGAATTATTATGTGCCTCTGTGTGTGTGTGTGAGAGAGAGAGAGAGAGAGAGATCACCATCACACTTGTGTCCACCCACACATATACTGGAAGTTACTTTTACGGTACATAGTACCCATGCCCAGAGTCTATGGATCACATGTGATGGACAAGGTTTAAATCTGTAATTTTAAACCCTTTGATTTTTTAAAAAGAAAAACAAACTTGCTGTATATTTTAGCAGAAGACTGCCCATTATTTATTTAACAGTATTTAACAGAAACACCTGTTCTTCTAGGGTGCTCCTGGTCCTGATGGAAACAACGGAGCTCAAGGACCACCTGGTGTCACTGTAAGTATAAGATCAGCATTGCTTACCTTTAATGCAAACACAGAAGTCTATCCCCTGGCATGTTTGGCTAATGTTAATGGAGGGTGTTGATTGGCATGTGCATTCCTTTATGTAATTCTGAAGGGAGCAATTGCATGTGTTTATTCATTTATTTATATCCCACAGTAAATTATGTATATTAAATTATACATTAGGACAGGTTAACATTTTAAAGCATCACACTAATAAAAACATTTAAAGTATAGCACTTCCATTTAGGCTTAGCTGTGAAAGGCCAGCCTGAATGAAAAGTTTATTGCAGAAGGACCACAGGGAAGAGATTAGCTTCATCTTCTTTGGAAGGGCATTCAGGGGCTGAACAGACTGCCCCAAGGGGTGGCGAGACGCTGCCCCTTTCCTTGCCGGATCAGGGCTGCAACAGCCACACGCCATGGCCCCGATCCAGCACTTTGCTGGTCTAAGAAGAGCCAGCAAAATGCTGCTCCTTTTTAGAGCAGCAAAAAGCCCCCCTTGCCATGGTGGTGATGGCTTTTGGGCATTTCTTTTATGCAGCGCGTCTAAACGCTGTGCCAAAGAGACGCTCTTTCACTGCCCACCATCTGATAGAAGAGGCCTTTCTCTCAACCTTCTGAGGTACATTTGATGGTGGGGAGGGCTTTCTTGGTGGCTGTTCCTGAATGACTGATGGGCTGAACAGACTGGCACTTTAGGCCAGCCTGGACGTGGAGTGGGGGTATGGTGACCGCACCAAGAAAGGCCTCCCCACCATCAAATGTACCTCAGAAGGTTGAGAGAAAGGCCTCTTCTATAGATTTTAAACCCTGGACATATTTCATAGCTGATATTCACATGGTTTCAACAGTGGTGTTTCATGAGGAGAAATTAATAGATGAATTTCAGGTTCACCCGCTTTTGTCCCCACCTCTAGCATAGTTTTCAGAAGACTGGAAGCTTTAGCTCCCAATTCCAGTTGACCAATGTTTAGTCATACATCTGACCCCTAACCTGTGGTTAATTTTAACCATGGTTTGTTGCTGAAACATAGCAGTTTCCTAGTCTGTGGTTTTCAAATACCTTCTTATTTACACAAACCACTGTGAAGATTAAGCATAGTTTCCTGGCCATGGATGGCACTTAGATTTCTAGTTTATTAGAAGAAAAATATTTGCAGCTCCTTGTAGCTGTGCTGAGGGAGAAAAGGGGAAGGGATAGCTTGGGAGTCCAAATGTCACTACATTTTGTTCCATCTTGATAAACCATTATTGTGATGTCCAAAAATAGCTTTTCTAGAATGTTCTGGATTGAGTGTGTGCATGTATATGTATAGGAATATCATAACAGAGAGCCAATATGGTGTAGTGGTTTGAGCATTGGTCTACAACCCTGAAAACCAGGGTTCAGTTTCCCATTCAACCATGGAAACCCACTGGATGACCTTGAGAGAGTCACACACTCTCAGCCCCAAAAAACTCCCTTAGGGTCACCATAATTTGGAAATGACTTGAAGGCACCCAACAACAACAATGTGATAAATAAAAGCTTTTTGTTTTGTTCTTTTGTTTTTGCTAGGGCAACCCTGGTGCTAAAGGTGAAACTGGTCCAGCTGGTCCTCCTGGCTTCCAAGTAAGTGAGGATATACTTAACCAAATGTGGCATTTCTTTGTTATGATAATGGGAATTGTAATGAATCATTTAGAGGTTTCCAGGATGTGTGAAATTGCTGCAGGGGAACCAAGCTGTCTTGAACAGCCCTCTGCTTTCATTTCACCTTAAGGACTATCTAAAATGCTTCAGTAAAAGTGAGATAAGTTTTCATGCAGGACAAAAGGGCCCAACAGACTTAAGGCTTGATTTCACACTGCAGAATAAGTCTGCAAATGCCTAGAACTAAGCTTTTAAGACACAATTGGGTTCCTGTTCTCTTGACTGCTATCCAGATTAAGAGGTTTAGTAATGCTTTACTGCAAGACCAATATATCCACGTGTAACCATTGAAAGTGTATTCAACCTTGTCATATTGATATTTTAATACATCTCATCCTTTCTTTTCATTTAGGGCCTTCCAGGTCCCTCAGGCCCAGTCGGTGAAGCTGGCAAACCAGGTGAAAGGGTAAGTGATAAATGATGTTATTTCTGGGACACCATCTTCTGAACCACACAAATTCAATGGACAAAAATTTTGTATGATTAAAAAGAGAAGCCCCTGATTATTTTTCCTCACATGTGATAGCCTTCAAGCGTTCTGTTTTCTCAAGCTCTGTCATGAATGTCTTTATTGTGCCAAGGTGAAAAGCAGGTCGAAGTAGTTGCACATTGTTTTAAAGAAAGCTGGGATAATGGTTCTGGTTGTGTGGTGAAAATGGTAACATCTGAACACAGATGAAGTATGTTATTGTAATATTTTCACATGTAAATATACAGAACTTGGTTTTATTCCCTCAAGTTGCATGAGCCCTACATTTGGTTTCATGTCATTTTCTCATTCAAAATGTCTTCTTTTTATTTCACTGAATAAAAATTTCCTTAGTCAATAGCTTTAGGATCTCTTGAACAAAAGTAAGAAAAGTCATTTGAGTTAATTAGTATCTCTTTTTTCCAATAGGGTCTTCATGGTGACTTTGGTCTTCCTGGTCCTGCTGGTGCAAGAGTAAGATTTTCCCCCTATATATTTTATTGTGTTTTATTCCCAAGAAAACTTGAATATATCATTATCTCAAGTTTCGGGTATACCATGTTAGATGTTACAACTTAATAGACCATTTTGGTATATAGAGGGGGATTTATTCTATATTACTGGTATTTTTCTTGTGGAAAAGGACAACATTAGAGAGTAAAGCCAAGATGAAAAAATTATTTAACTGGACTACAGCTTTCAAAATCCCCCAGCTAGTATAACCTTTGGCCATGCTATCTGGTGAATTACGGGAGGTGTAGTTTTTTGTTTTTTAATGTGAAAATCACTTTAAGGAAAAGAAAAGTGAAGAGAATAGAGAAATCGAACAAAATAAATGCCATTATTTCAAATGATTAGACTTTTGCACAATTCTGCCTTTACTGAATTATATCAGTCTCCTTGGATCCCATTTGGGAGAAAGGAGGGGTATAAATTCAATAAATCAATCAGTAAAAATATCATCAAGCTAAGCTAAGTGGTGGCTTAGTAGTTAAGATGCCAATTTTGATGATTGGGAGGTTGGCAGTTTGAGGCTCAGGTGCTGCATAATGGGGTGAGCTCTTGTCACTAGTCCCAGCTTCTACCAACCTAACAGTTCGAAAGCATGCAAATGCAAGTAAATAGATAGGAACCACTTCTCAGTGGGAAGGTAGCAGCATTTGGTGCAGTCATGTTGGCCACATGATCACAGAGTAGTCTCTGGCGAAGCTTACTCTTCCACTTAGAAATGGAGATGAGCACTGCCCTTTACAGTCAGTTATGACTAGACATTCATTTTAAGGGACTGACTACCTTTACCTTTACCTTTACCTTTACCTTTAAATATTTTTACAATTGAGAACAATATAGCTATTAAAATAACACTGGCATTGCTATAATCAGTATATTGCCATGAATAGGCTTTTACTCTAATGTACAACAGATTAGATACACAATCATTCATACAGAAGGTCTATTAAATTTAATGGAGCTTAAGTTGGAGCATTTAAATACTTTTGATTTCATTGGGTTTAGTCTGTCTATGTATGATTAACCCTAAATTTTAGCTTTAGATTTTTAGACTCACATAGCATGTGATCTAACTATATTTATGAAATATTTCATAAATACAGCATGCATGTACAATGTGCATAAGGCATTTGTATCCATACAGTTGTATTCTTTTTCACTACCACTATAATGAGTTAGATTGGGAGGAACACAGTCTTGAGCTAGGAGATAAAACCAGATTAGTTTGCTCTCTCAAGCATACTTGTTCAGCAGTGAGCCCCACTTAAACCAATGGGACTCTGATTTGCTGTCATTAGGACAGAGTTGTAGAACTACTCAGTTCTGGCCAAGTCAAAATAAGATTCAGAGCTTGCTACAGCTGCTCCTTGAACTATTGGTTGGATATAGTACTCCTACTCCTATGAAAGCCAACGTGGTGTGGTGGTTTGAGTGTTGGACCAGGACTCAGGAGGCCAGGGTTCAAACCCCAGCTTGGTCATGGAAACCCACTGGGTGACTTTGAGTAAGTCACAGTGTCTCAGAGGATGGCTATGGCAAAACCCCCCCCAGCAGAAATCTTAAGTGATAGGTTTTCCTTAGGATCACCATAAGTTGGAAACGACTTGAAGGCAAACAACAACAACGTACTCCTGCAGGTGAACAGGATCTATCCATAAATGAAGAACTTGGATGTGTTCTATAGATCCCAGAATCTGCCATCAGCATAACCACTGGTTATGTTTGCTGGGGAATTCTGGGAGTTGCTGCATGTTTGGAAGTAACTTGTTGGTTGTTTTCCTAGTTCTGCTTAATCCTAAAAACACCTATTCAGTAACTGTGCATTTTTATTAATTCACAAGTAAAGTGAATGTTTGCTATCTGATCTGTTGAATACTACTCTTCCTCGCAGTAACAAATTGATCACTTTGGATTCCAAACAACTTCATACCAATTTGTTTCCTGCAGGGTGAGCGTGGCCCTCCAGGTGAAAGTGGTGCAGTTGGTCCTACAGGTCCCATTGGAAGCCGTGGCCCATCTGGCCCCCCAGGAAATGATGGTAACAAGGTAAGGCAGAAAGGCTGCAATTTTTCTGAAATCCTGGGGAGGGCACTGTCACATCCTTCATGCGCATGCTGCTGATGGCAACAACTTTCACATGTCTCTTCTTGAAATACCAAAGCCTCAATGCATGATCAAATGGCACATTACTCAGTCTGCGTCAAGAGTTTTCATTATGTGGGGAATGGGAGTGAGAGCCACCAAAACAATTCAGAAACCAGATGTTACAGCAGACAACGTAGAAGTCTTTTTGGCTTGAGATTTTCCCCCGTCGTCTTCATTGTTAGAGGTGCAGCTTTGAAAAGCTGTATTTATGATATAGATAGTTTATGCACGGGCATTGCTCCCTCTCAACAACAGATCTGTATGTGGGATGAAAATGGGTGCAAATCATACAGCCTTCCGGATGCTGTTGAACTGTTGCTCCCCTTGACCCTCGCCAGCATAGCAAATGCTAAGAGTGATGGGAATTGCACCCCATTTCTAACAACAACAACAAAACAACAACAACGTCTGGTGGGCCACATGATTTCCATCATAGATTTAAAGTTTGCTTTGGAACAGAAGTGGACAAACCTTTCCAATATTGTTGGACTGCAAAATCCCATTGCTCTTCATGAACATAGCAATAACAAGTACGTTTCTTGCTATTGACATAACATAAGCCAGTGGTGAAGAATCTTGAGAGCTACAGTTCAACAAAATCTGGAAGCCTGTACAATTTCCACCCATGTTTTAAATGAAGGTGACTTTGAAAGCCTCATTAGGCATCTAGAATTTACATATGTATGCATTACTCTTATATCCAACTGTTCCAAAAGCTTGGGAAAGTTACTTTTTCTAATGTGACCATGCTGGCTAGTGAAATGTGGGACGTAGTCCAAACATTGACTTTCAGGCTTTATGACTTTCCACAAATGAACTCAAAGCAGCATATGTGGCTCTCCTCTTCCCCACTTTAACTTCATGACAACCCTGTGTACGGTTGAAAATGTGTCACTGATCATCTACTGAGTTTCATGATTCAGTGAAGACTCAAGCTTGGATATGTTTGCTTCTGTCAATTGTTATAGTTGTAGCAATATATATGTGCTCACTAGGTCTGAATTTAAGGTGATTTTTTTTTTTTTTACTGTAGAAATAAAGCAGAGTCCAAAACCAGAAAGGGAGAGGATCATTATATAGAGTTTTTGAGCTGGATTGCAGCCTCAAACAGCTGCTCTGATGGCACCACCAGAATGAAATGCTGCACAGCATTTTTCAGTGATATGTCCTGTTTCCAGTCCATTTTGGACCTGGATTCTTGGTCATTCTGAAATGTGCCCTCCCCTCCTTCCACTTCCTCTTTTCAAAAACAGTACATTATCATTAATAGATCATTAAGCTTCAGTCTCTGGAAGCATTGATCATGGGAAATGTAGTCCCCATGATTCTTGGTATCCATGGACATTGTCAAGATTTGAATGGATCCTGTTTAATTACCAGTGGTTCACCTGAAAACAATGGAGGCACCTTCTTCCATTTAAACAACCCATGAGAATTGTGAACTCTTAGTAGATATCCCCACAAATTAATCCATCTTAATTGGTCCCGTTTTCAATCAGGATTGGCCATGAGGGTTTAGTTACTTCTGCCTACATGCTCAGTGAGTGGGTTACCTCAATTACCAATGCAAAGAAACACTCACTGTGTGGCCCTCAGCAAGCCCTTCTTTATGCAGAGATATTCAACAAGTAGTCAGAAGTACCTGATGGTAAAGTAGCACAGTGCAACAGTTTGCTTGTTATCTCTAGGGCACGGTTTAATCTTCATAGTTTAATTTTTCCTCTCCTGTTCCTTCTTCTCCTAGGGTGAACCCGGTAATGCCGGTGCAGCTGGAGCTCCAGGCCCAGCTGGTTCTAGTGGAATCCCTGGAGAGAGAGGCATTGCTGGTATCCCAGGAGGCAAAGGTGAAAAGGTAAGGCAGAAAAGGATCAAGGGCCAATGCAAGATCTTCTTCGGGGAAAATACATAGAGCACACACTTTGCATACTGAAGGTCCCATGTTAAATCGCTGGTACTTTTGCAGTGGAGAGGGCTAATGGAGGGTTCCTGGAAAACAAAGTGGCTCCCTAGTCTCTCCTGGAGGGCTAATGAGATCCTTTAGTCTTCCACAGTTGCCCACCTAAGTCTTGAAGGGTCACGTCCCATATCTGGCATAAAGATTTCCTTTTCTGTTGAAACTGATCAGATGGATCTAAAAACCACAACAACAGTGTACAGTCAGTTCTCTGTATCGACAGATTTTTTTTTTAATCCATGGATTCAACCATCCACAGCTTGAAAATATTCAAAAATAATATAAATTTCTAAAGTCAACCTTGACTTTTCCATTTTATATAAGGGACATCATTTCACTGTGCCATTGTATTTAAAGGGACTTGTGCATCCACAGATTTTGGTATCCATGGGGGGGTCCTGGAATCAAACACCAGCAGATAGCAAAGGCCCACTGTACATTACTCTAAGTCCTATTGATAGTCCTGACTAGATCAATTGAATTGGTTGTATTTATCTTTGTGTTACCTCACCATTGAATAAATGGTTCAGTTGGGCTACTTTAATTAGAACTATCCAACTGGATTCCTGCCACTGCCAGCAGAGGAAGGCACCTCCACCTCTACCCACTTTCTGTAGTGGCTGGTACAAGTCAGCAGGGCTTTGGATGAGATGGTAGATCCACCATTCTATTTTCCTACACATCCCCTGCCCCAGACTCTGTATAATGTACGGAGGGGTGTGCAGTTCTGTGTCTTATTACTGAGAAAATGTAGGAACCACTACCATGTAAGTATCCCCTCTATCTGTGTGACTCAGACACTAATTATCAAATTAATTCTTCTCCCCCCCCTTTTTTTTTCCTTTTTTTTTTTCAGGGTCCACAAGGCTTCAGAGGAGATGCTGGAACAACAGGAAGAGATGGTGCTCGTGTAAGCATGCTTGGGTTGCTTTATTTCCAAGGAAGGAAGCATATAATCCCTTTAAGAATCAGTTTGGGAAGGCAAAATAACTAGATTTAGGCCTCAATGCATCATCCATCTGTTCACTTAATGTTTGGTGATATTAGTCTGAACCAAGTACAAACATGAACATGAAGTTTACTTGGATTCTGATTTCCTGAATGTTCACTTCCAAGAGTACTATTAAGCTTGGAAAGAAAATTTGCCTATGGTGTGCATTTTGTTTTTAATAATAACCAGAAAAATCAGTTGAGCTTTTGCTGCCACCACCACCAAAAGTTTGGAAAAGGTGTGGACAGCTCCTAGCTGTTTTTGGAAGGATAAGCCCCTGCTCCCCCATCTAAATCAACTTGCATTTTTCAATACAACATGACATTTCATTGCTAAAATGCTTAAATTAAACTTCCTTATAATACCTACAAAACAAGATCACTTACCAGTTACATAGATTTTTGTTTGGATACTGGGGGGGCAGGGAGTACATTCATGCAGTTTCCATAATTATAGGAATTCATGTATGGCCCATAGTTTACCAATATTCCTCTTACATGGTCTGAATCTGTGGAGATAAAATAGGTTTCAAGCATGTGATTCTGGTTGATTTTCAGGGTGCTCCTGGTGCAGTTGGTGCTCCTGGACCTGCTGGAAGTGCTGGTGAAAGAGTGAGTACCAGTCTTTTCAGAAGTTTGCTAGGGATGCTGCTAGATTTAAGTTTGAAAATGTTCATGTACTTAAAAATTATAATAGATTTTGTAGTTAAGAATTTAGACTATATATTGAGAGAATGACTAATGAGTAGACAATAAAAACCAAAACTGTAGGATAGGAAGTATTAGATGTTTTGATATTTTGTAATGTTTGCTGTGTGCTAATAAATTGTTTAGGTAATTTTAATGGTATTTGGGAATTTGAAGATAGAACCATGAATAACACTATTGAAGAGAAGAAGGGAAGAGGGTGATTAGAGTGAAGGTAAAGTATGTGAGTAGAGGGTAAGAGTAAGGTAGATAAAATGATGGTTGGGGAAGTTAGGGAAGTTAGTGTGGAGTTAGAAGGAGAAAAAGAGGGAGAGGTAAGAAAGAATGAGAGTGGATGAGAAGAGGGAGGGCAAGGAGAGGATTCAGAGAAGGTGAGAGAATAGAAAGGGTATGTGGAAGAGTGGTTAAAGGATTAGAAAAGTATAAAACCAATGAAAGATGTTTGAAGATCTCGAATGTTTAATGATTTTATATAGAAGTTTTGAGTTAAGAAGGAAATATATAATAATGTTGATTTAAGGCTAGGTTTGTCTTGTCTCTGTTTTGTGTATATATGTTTATATGTTCAGTAAGTATATTATTAAAAAATGTTCATTTATGACACAGATACATTGTATATGCAAAATGAAATTGTCTTTTCCACATGTACAGAGTGTTAGCTTGTGGGAAGAGTAGACTGAGTG